TGACGTCACGCCACTCATGTGACCACCCCCTTCGCCATGATGGATGGCAAAAAGACCGTTTACACCCATTGAAACTCAAGTGAAGCTAGTCAAAACGAGCTAGTTTGTAGCCTTTTATCGCTTTTATTTAGTTGATTTGACAGTAAAATGGTTTTAGCTTGCTGCGTGGTTGGCTGCACTAACAGACAAGGATGTAAACTCAACTCGTTTTGTTTTTTTAATAACTTTGATGGAGACTGAAGACGGAGATGAACTGCAGCGATCAATCAAGCGGACTAGCAGTCCTCAGATTAGCAGCAAACATGTTTTTACCGGGTAAGATTAACGTTCATTTATTTCACGAGGAAGACAGGGACAAGGATAAATGTCATGTGTTTATACAAGTTATTGATAATCCTGATTGATGGGTATTTCACCACGGAGGCTGCGCTCCGTCCACTGTAGTGTAAAACGAGACAAATATTAACAATATTAAAGCTCCGATGTATGATTACGTGTGTTAAAATTACGTTATTTATTTGTTTATTTGAGCGTCGCTGTTCAGAGATCTTCTCATTCCGGTGTGAGAGCAGCAGCTGAACCCGGTAACACAACCAGCAGCAGAAACTGGTAGGGATCCGGACTTTTTAAAAATCAGCTTTGGTGTAAAGTGAAACGCTGTTTACAACATAAAGTTATAAATCCAGAGGGGTGAATTTAGGCAAAGTCAGCAACATGTTTACGTCTGTGAACAGATGCAGAGAGAACGTAAGCTAACGTTGGTAAGTGTAGCATCATGAAGGTCCTCTAATTTGTGACAAAGGTCACATTTTCCCAGCTGGGTCAGACTGTAACTTTTAGTTCCATGGATTAACCCAGAAGCCCTGATGTCTAAAGAATATCATCCTTTATCTGCTGCTGTTCCGTCCCAGAAGGACACTTCAAGTTCACGATAACAATCTAAATAATAATATTAATAAACTCTTTGACTGTATTACTGTTTATTATAATCATCATAAATGATCACTTGGTTCAGTATAAATGTATTTTAATTACTGAAATGAATTATTATGCTTTGGGTATAATTATGATTATGGTGGTGTGTTCAGTAACCAAAGGTCAACTTCCACTTATCCATCCAACACAGAACTGATCCAGATTAAGGGTAACTTCCATCATGTGTCTTGACTCATGACCAAAGTTTTCTTGCTGTGAGAGGGCGTGTTCTGAGGACTTTGCAAAACTAACTTCCAGCAGCTTTCACGTCAGTTCGTGAACCAACCACCATCAGAGGATTAGGGAACGGCCGTCCCTGAAGCCTCCACCTGCTGTTCTGTCACGCCGATGAGAATAGCTACGAATAAACGTAACTGTAGCCAGCTGACGCAAAACTCCTCAGAGTTATTGATTTTTGAGTTAAGTAAGACGAAACTCCCTCAGAGTAAGCCAGATGCTCGACACTGTGTACCCAGCGACATCTTCGGTCCAGAGAGTTGGTTCCTCGAGTCTCCTCTACCGGACCGAGTACCTGCAGGAAGAAACCATCCTCCCTTGACCTCCGGATCCTTACGAAGGGTCGTCCTTGCTGGGTGAGGTAGCACACAGATTGTGTTTGATGCTGTTTTCTCTAAGTAACAACAGTTAACTGCAAAACCATCATTTCTAACCCAGAACGTGTTACTCTCTCTGAAAGAAACCTTCTGAGAAATCCATTCACGCATCCAAACTCGTATTTTCCATTTAGCTTTCATCCAGCCACAGGTTTGCCTTTTAAAACAAGTTTAATATCAAAGCTGTTAAAAATTGTCATTAAATTGTCATCCATGAATTGTCATTTCTAATTGTCATTCACATCGTCAAGTTTAAAATTGTTAGTAATAAATTCTTAATTTTTAAACTTGCCTCATTCTTTGAAATGGAACACAGAAAGGTATAATTAATTCTGGTTATTGAGAAAGCAAAGATTCCGAACTTCTGATTCAAAAATAAACTTTTGCTATTAAATTTAATTATCTTAAATTAAATGTTCATCTTTGGATTAAAAATAGACCAAACAGGTTGGTGTGTGAACTTAGATCGCTTATATCAGTATCCTGGATATTTATACATGATATAAGCTTCATGGATTAATCTGCTTGCTCATTCTCAGAATCTACAACTGAATAGCAACAGTGTTGATTCTAGTATGTAGATAACCCTACATAAGCTAGTTAACATGCCGCTCTCTATGAGCCCCGGCTAGATGCGCTACTCCTTCTGATAATTGAACTGGGCATGAACTAGTTGAAGGAATGCTGGAGGAGTTTTTGTTTTGATCACAAAAACAATTTCAGGCTCTACTTTCCCTTTGTTTAGTAACGGTGTCGCTCACTGTTTACATGCTTTTGTCGTCCAGCATGGTGGACCCACGTGATAGGTGACGATGGTACAAAGGGTCAATAGTGCCCTGAGGGAGGAAGGGTGGGTGTGGCCGGCTACAGCTTGTTTTCTTAAGGTGACAGAGCCCTGAAATGGCTCATTGTGGAAGGTACTGAAACTCTCAAGAGCTGAAATCACTTCATGTGAGAGAGATTTTGAGGAAAGACCTTAATGAACACGAAAACACCAACCAAAAAAAAAAACATCAATATATACTCACCTAAAGGATTACTGGGAACACCATACAGACTTCTCTTCATGGTAGACTTGGATATTGATACATCTACCTCCTGGAGAGCTTTGTTCACTTGTTTGGTCATTTCAAAAGGGTTTCCCTTGATCAAACCCACAGCTTCTGTGGACCGGGTGAAACATCTCTCACTGGTAGCCAAGCCAAGTTCCCCAGCTTTTTATCTTTAAGGCTTATGTCACCACTGCAGATTTGTTTCAGAGGTGCATGAAATAAAGAACGGAGATGCAGTTTGTAATCCATGCCTAAGCAGTGTGGGAAACTGGGAGCATAATGCAGGTAGGGCTGGATGCTGTCAAGTTTTGTTAATCTGTAGCGCCTCTTAGTGGTCGCAGTGAAAAATGGCAAGCTTCAGCAAAAAGTGAGTTAGTAAACATCTCATTTTCAAGAACAAATGCAGCCATCTGTTGGTTCTATTTCTACGTGCAGTTTAGAGAGGAGCCATGTTTGTGTGGAATCCCATTATTTGATGGGGAAACATATTTCTGACTAATGTGTTGTAACAAAATGTCAGGTGGCGGTTGAAATGAGGTGGAGATTTAATAATCAAACCATAAACATAAAAATGTATTGAGGTTTTTCTTTGGTAAATGTCTTCCCGGTAGTAGAGACCTCTTTGAACAACCTCAGTTTGGAAAAATATAGATCATGTCTGATTGGATAAACATCTTAGTGGCTCAGTTATGTAAAGCAGAAGTCCAGTGTTTTTTTCTCAAGAGGGCACCAGTAGCTCAGGAGGTGGAGTGGGTTGTCCAATAATCAGAGGGTTGCAGGTTCCATCCTGGCTCAGACCAGAGAATTCTGCTGTTGTGTCCTTGGGCAAGACTTAACCCGCCTTGCCTGCTGGTGGTGGTCAGATGAAACATAATGAATGACCCACACTTGTATAGTGCCAGAGTCAGAGGACTCCAAAGCGCTTTACACCACAGTGTATTCACCCATTCACACACACACATTCACTCACTGGTGGGGATGAGCTATGATGTAGCTATGGCTGCCTTGACGCGCACTGACAGAGGCGAGGCTGCCGAGCACAGGCGCCACCGGTCTCTTTGACCACCAGCAGGCGAGATGGGTTAAATATCTTGCCCAAAGACACACGATCCCCGGTCCAGAGTCAGGATTGAACCCGCAACTTTCCGATTACAGGACAACCTGCTCAACCTGTTGAGATACTGCTGCCCCGGAGGGACTGGTAGCACCAGTGCTCGGCAGCCTCGTCTCTGTCAGTGCGCCCCAGGGCAGCTGTAGCTACAACATAGCTCATCCCCAGTCCAGCGTGTGAATGTGTGTGTGAATGGATGACTGACTGATTATGTTGTAAAGCGCCTTTGGGGGTTGTAGAACCCTAAGAAGGTGCTGTACAAATACAAGCCATTTACCATTTACCATCTAGAGGCAGAAAAAATGTATTGCATCTTAAGACCCTCCACCGACTTCCATGAATAAGGCTGGAGGCAAGGCCTCTCATTCATGAACGCACACCTCTAGAGGCCTACAGAGCTACAAGACATCATTTTACAATCATTTTTGTCACACTAAGTTGTTATACACACACACACACACACACACACACACACACACACACACACACATACATGCATACCAATATATAAATATATATATAAATAAAACTGCACATACAATGTGTTTTTCATGGTTTAAAACTTGGCAGTGGACAGGAACAACGTTATTGATGACACATAGGATATCAAATGTGTCCTCCATCTTCTAAACTCGGTTTAATGGCGGATGGCATAAACAAACCGTGAACTTTGGAGTCTTAAAGGACTTTGTGATCTTGTGAGTCCAGTGAGGAGGACGGCTGCTCCGCGGCTGAGACTCCCTCATTGTGGATTGAAGCACCACGAAGCATGCAAGTAAATGTTCCAGCTGCCGATCTACGCTGCCGATGCCTCCAGTGTGGACCCGGCGTTAGAGTTAAACAAAGACAGTTATTTTTAAGTAGTTATTAATTCCAGAAAGACAAGTAGTTGAATCAATTTCAAGATTTCAGATTTATTGTGAAACTCATTTTTAAATGTCTCTATTTCTCCTAACTGAGATTGTTCAATATTGTTTTAGTTTGTTTTTACTAAGATAAAACATTTGGTTCTTTATTTTCAAACAAAAATGAGCAAGATTTGTGCCTGATGATTTTAGGATATTCATATATGTTTTGCTAATATTTAACAGTTTGTGTCTCATTATTAGAGGCTTTTATGGTAAATGCTCCCCAAAGGAGGATGTGAGATCAAGTTCCATCTTATTGTTTACGTTTTTTCTTCTCCAGCTCAATTATATAAAGACAGAAGAAGGAAGGAAACTTCACTTCCTGAGCAGCCAAGGTTGATAAGACAAGAAACACACACACTTTGCTGCAGTGTTGCTTTACGCTCCATCTTCCACACACTCGTCCTCTCCTCCCTCGTTAGACATTTGTGTTTTCTGACGACTGGATCTGGATCAAACATCCCCCCCTCACTCAGGATGGGCTCCAGACTCCCCGGCCTGCTGCTGCTGCTCCTCGCCGACCTCCTGCTCTTCTGTAAGGAGCCCCTGGTGTGCTTCTTTAAGGATAGAGGATGTGCCAACATTTAAACTTTTATCTTGACATTCATCTTTTTTATTTTCCCTATACAGGGAGGTGTGTCCGAGGAGAATCGTGTAAGTATCTCTAAAAGTTTAAGTGATGTAGTTTCCGGACATGTGACAGTTTCAGGAGATGTTAAAAAGTTCATATTCAAAATGTAAGTTAACTTTAAAAGGGCAGTTGCACGTGTGGTCTCAGACATTTTCAGATAAATATGACTTAAAACTATTTCTCATTAGCATCTTGTGATCAACACAAATAAGTTAAAACATTTTTTAAACTAAACGTTCCTGCTAATTTGATCCTATTTTGTGTTTTGTATCAACACTTGTCAGATGTTTTTAGACTATGAGGCTAAAGAGGAAGTCGCGTTAATTCCCTTGTCCTCCCTGGAGCTCCCTGAAATTGGGTGTGTTCCGAAAACACAAAGGAGAGCATTTTTTACAGGTTTCCAAACATGGTTTCTCCTAGGAAAAAAATCTTTTTTACACAATGCCACCTGTTAAAAGGCAGTTTCATTTAGTGGAGCTGTTACTGACCAAACAATAAATGTCAAAGACACAAATTATTCCACAAAAAGATTTCAAATGTTCAAAATTTATGAAAAAATAATTCTCAAGTATTGTTTAAGATATAAGTAATGGAATGCCTACTGTATCTTTATCATAATAAACTGGAAACAAAATAATAAATCAAATGTTAAAGCTGAAACAAAACGCACCCTAGTGACTGGTTTCAGCATAGCCTTAAACCCCGCCCATTTTTTTCTAACTACTGAAACGTTTTCAAATAATAAAGACAAAAAAATGTATACTTTTTCTTCCCCATGTATTGACTCGATGATTACTGTAGTGTTTACAATAAATGGTCAGGTATAGTTTATCTAATAGTATTAGTATTAGCTGTGATTAGTTAATGGTTAAAGAGCAAGTCACCCCCAAATCAACTTTTTCTTCTGATAAACTATATAAATGTGTGTCTAATCGTGCTGCAGACACATGTAGTCAATAGTTCTGCACTTTAGTGCATTTCAGTTAAAATTTTAATTTTCTGCATAAAACTGTCAGTGTTGTGCCGTTGTCAGGTAAAACCTCTGAACAGCATTTGAATTTAAATATGCCATCGCTATTGGCTAAGAGATGCCCTAGAACGTTAGCTGGTACCATATGATGTCACAATGTCGTTGTGAGCCTGTGTGCGTGTATTTGTTAGCAGCTCCACCCCCTCGGTCTGCTAGGCAACAGCATTTGTTGCATTTTTCAAACAAGAAGTGGGAGAGGAGTAAGACGCTGGCAGGGGGTGACTTGCTCTTTAAGTTGCAAAAGTAAAACACATAATTCAGCAACATGTTGATTTTAATTATTACCTTTAGTTAAAAAACAATAATTATTAGTTAATAGTTTGCTTTATTTTCATGTAGTTTATTTATAGCATCTAATGCCTCGTTGGGCTAACTTGTTGCTTTGGCTAAGCGGTGCTGTTGCTGCTGAATAAAGATGAGAAGGAAAACGAATTTGTGCAACTCTCTGAGGAGAAGAAAAGGTCAGACATTGTTTGTGGAGTCCTCCTTCCTTCCACTCGCTCCTGTTTGCTGAGCAGAAGGCAGAGGTTTCCTGTTTATCTGGTTAAATTGAGCTGAAAGTCCAAGTTTTTAGTATCATGAGAGACCTCTTAGCCCAGGTAGAGCAACATGTTCCAGATGAGCTTACCTGTTCCTAAGAAGAACAATTTGTTATTCCTATTAATTACATCCCGAGTAAAATACTCTGATTGGAACAATTTTAGTCATCAGACAGAAAAACTGAATGTGTGCTAAGTCTCACAATGGCGATCAAACATTAGCATTTTAATGATCAAAGTTATAGACAAAATGTTTATTCAGCAAAGTTTTTTCAGCAATTAATCTAAACAAAAAATTCTTAAATGAAGACTGTCTAACAATCTCATTGTAATAAATGTAATAGATGATGGAAATAAGTCATGAATAATATCAAATCAGAGTCCAAAATCAAGTTGATGGTGTAAAATGGCTCTTTTAACACAAGGGCAGATGTCAATAGCCTGAGTAAATCAAATTGTTATTTTAACTCAGAAGAATTTCAGGTTTTCTGAAGCCAGGCTGTGAAGAATATCCCAAGCATGTTGGAAGTATTTCATGTTACGTCCATCAGGTTTTGTCCTAACTGACTATTTATTTTGCGTTTCTGCACATGGACAACAGCTTTCATCATCGACACTGTTGGCCTTACTGTCCAGCCACAAAACCAAGTCCAGAGCGGAACCCCGGTGATAATCCGCTGCCAGGTCAGTGTCAGCTTCAGCAACATTTCTCACCTCCTTCACCATTTCGAGATCACACAGGACGGCGTTCCCATCCACGTCTCTGACACCACAGAGGACTCTGTCTCTTACGGGCTGAACCCAGCCAGGGCAGCCGACTCTGGAAGTTACGAATGTAGAGTCACGGTGAAGGACAAGAGCAAGGCCAGCTACAGCCAGAAACTGGACGTCTCAGGTAAATGGCCTGTATTTGATACAGCGCCTTCTAGAGTCCTGGAACCCTCCAAGGCGCTTTACAACACAATCAGTCATTCACCCATTCACACACACATTCACACACTGGTGGGGATGAGCTACAATGTAGCCACAGCTGCCCTGGGGCGCACTGACAGAGGCGAGGCTGCCGAGCACTGGCGCCACCGGTCCTTCCGACCACCACCAGCAGGCAACGTGGGTTAAGTGTCTTGCCCAAGGACACAACGACAGTGACAGACTGAGTGGGGCTCGAACCTGTGTAGCGTTATGGTTTATGCTCTTTTATGAAAGAGGAACCATTCTACATGTGAATTTGTGATATTAATTTTATTAAATTAATAACCAAATTGTATAGTTTTAAGAAGACTCAAAGGTTGTTTTCATCGATAAACTGACGATAATATCTGTGTGTCTGTGTTTCAGTTCAATGAAGAAACAAGTTTGACAATTAAAAAGTTTTAATTCTTCAAATTAAACTAATGATTTTGAAATTGACAAACAGAAAATAACAATCAACATTGGCAACTTTGTGGGACAATCTTTAACAGTTGATATTGTAAACTTGCTCAAATAGACCTTCTGTTGGAGGTGCTGAAGGTTGAGAGTGATATGATGTGATTATGGATGCGTGTGTGCAAAGTGTAGTGAGAATTGAACATGAGGTGAGATGAATGCGTGTGTGCATCTGATTTTGCTTCAGGAAGAAACAGGTGTCTGAGTGAAATGTGATGGTTTGAATAAACTTAGGTTTTGTTGGAAAAGATGCATCAAAACGCTATCTACCGTGTTCTGCCTCACCGAAAATCGGACCCCCTTTTAGATCCGGGACGCCAGAGGATGGTGATGTCCATCCAGGTGACACCAGCGGCTGGCAGAGGAGACGGAGGTGTCCGCGGCCCGGTCCAGAGTTGCCCTCGGTACACGTTGATGGAAAAGTGTTTTGTCGATGCGCTTGTTAAGTTTAGTTCACTCAGAAATCAAAAGACTCGGTATGAGTCTGCGTTAGAAGTTGCGATTCAGCTATTCTGTCTGGCTGACAGGAACAGCGTGAGGGGGGGGGGAGAAACGAGCCAACCGGCTCTGTCCCCCCTTTGGTTTCGTCAGGTCCTCTCTCTTTCGTTGTCAAGCACGAACTGAATCATAAGACTGAAACTTACCAAAAGCCTTTCTCTTCTCAAAGCAAACGTGTGCGTCAGCAAATGTGTTTTGGAGTTTACAGTGAGAATCTGTGTGTGGGTGTGTTTGAGTGTGTGTGTGAAGGTCGGTAACAAACATCCTCAAACATTATCTAATTAAGTATGGATTCATTAATCCATTATAATTACCCAAAGCATAAGAATCATTCACTTGATTAAAACACATTTATAATGAGCAAAATGATAATGATTATTCTTTAACATTAAAATCAAGAAAGAAAGTTTTAAGACTTGTTATGTTATGACTACTTTTCCATGAGAACTTCGTCTTCTGGTACTGCAGGTGTTCAGATGTTATGGTTTCCAGCAGACTCTTGCAGACTTCATGTCTGCAAAGGTCTCAATCTGTGGGTGAAAGTTCTCAGCGACCCAGCTCTTTGACCCAGCCGAGTCAAATGACCTTTTGCACAGAAAACCCATATTTCCTCACATTACACCTGCAACCTTCCGATTACGGGTCGAGCACTTAACTCCTGAGCCACCGTCGCCCAAGAATCGGAAGGTTGCAGGTTTGAGCCCCACTCAGTCTGTCGCTGTCGTTGTGTACACAAAGCCAGGGACCAGAAACAGCTCTAATGCAGGAATTTCATCACAATAAATAACACAATGTAGAGTAATAGCAATGGTCTTTATTCTTTACCAATGGTTCCCTCTCCTCAGGGCTACAGACCCCCACCCTGCAACTGAATAATGCATCACCGTATGAGAATGAGGAGTTCAAAGCCTCCTGCAGTGCTCCAGAGGAGAAAGGACCGCTCATATTCAGTTTTTACCAAAGGTTCATGGGCGGGGAGCCTCTAAGGATAAAGAGGGTGTCGAGAACTGGAAATTCCTCAGAGATCGCTCTAAGTCTGAAGCACATTGGAGACTGCTTCCTGTCCTGTGACTACGAAATCCCTTTGGTTTCTGGGACCAGACGCTCCAACAGCAGCAAGGAGATTCAAGTGCTCGTTCAAGGTATGAGGAGCTTATTTTTCATCAGAGGTTTGTAACCCTGCAAACATTGGAGTGTCTGACGGTGCTTACTTGTGTGTTGCAGTGCTCCACATTACCCCAGTCATGAACATACTTCCCTCTTCTACAGTTCTTGAGGGGGAGGTAGTGGAGGTTCACTGTAGAGTAGTGAACAGTTTTCTGAGGAACGTTGAATTATTTCTGCTGTGGAAGAAGCATATTCTTCGAGAACAAAAAGGCTCAGCTCTTGTTCATCGATTTAAAACCCAAGCGGACAACTCCGGGGAGCTTATTTGTAAGGCACAGTGGGGAAATGTCCAAAAAGAGAGCTATAAAACACTTACAGTCAAGGGCAAGTATTATTTTTTTTTACCAAAAAAAAACAGGTATAGTGTTCAAAAAAATATTCGTGTCAAAGCAGGGGTCCCCAAACCTTTTTGCAAACACTACTTTTCCACAGACCAGTGAAGGCTGGTGGTATTTGATAAGTTATCAAACTGTTATGAACACTGCCTGGCCAAAAACAAGCTCTCTTGAATGTTACAGAAATATCTATTTCATATATCAGCATCTACGGTCCCCAAAAAGTGAGAAATCTGGAATGTATTTTCCAGATAAGTTTTATTCTTTCAGTGCAGAAAGTACCAAATGAACCACACACTGGTATTTGTCCTTGAACCTGTGGTTAGGGACCCCTATGCTAAGGCACTTAAATATAATTTTGAATTTGAATGAACATTTATTGTATGTGGGGGAGGATGCCGGTCAGACCTGGCAGACCTAAACGTATTGTGAGGATCTGTGAGGGAAGCGGGGGACATTGAATCCAAGTGGGCCGTTTTCCGTGTTTCCATTGTCGGGGCGACTAACTGGAGCTGCAGCCGCAGGGTCATCGGTGCCTGTCCTGGAGGCAACCCCCAATCCCACTGGAGAACACCGGCGGTTAGGGATGCAGTCAAGCTGAAGAAAGAGTCCTATCGGGCTTTTTGGTCTGTGGGACTCCAGAGGCAGCTGGTGGGTACCGGCACGCCAAGCGGAACGCGGCTCAGGTGGTCGCAGAGACAAAAACCCGGGCGTGGAAGGAATTCGGTGAGACCATGGAGCAAGACTTCCAAATGGCTTCGAGGAGATTCTAGTCCACCATCTGGCATCTCAGGAGGGGAAAGCAGTGCGCTACAAACACTGTTTACAGTGGTGACGGTGTGCTGCTGACCCCGACTTGGGGCTTTGTGGATCAGTGGGCAGAATACTTCGAAGACCTCCTCAATCCCATCAGTCTTCCAGTGAAGAAACAGAGTGTGGGTACTTTGGGTTGGCCTCTCCAGTCTCTGGTGCCGAGATCACTGAGGTGGTCAAAAACTCCTCCGTGGCAAGGCCCTGGGGTGGGTGAGATCCACACAGAGTTCCTTAAGGTTCTGGATGTTGTAGGGTTGTGTTGGCTGACACGGTTCTGCAATATCGCGTGGACATCGGGGGCAGTTCCACTGGATTTGCAGACCTGGTTGGTGGTTCTCCAACCGCAGGGTGTGTTCCAACTACAGGGGGATCACACTCCTGAGCCTCCCTGGTAAGGTCTATTCAGGGGTTCTGGAGAGGAGGGTCTCTTGGATTGTCGAACCTCAGATTCTGGAGGAGCAATGTGGTTTTCGTCCTGGCCGTGGAACACTGGACCAGCTCTATACCCTTAGGGTGTTCCTGGAGAGTGCGTGGGAGTTCGCCCAACCAATCTACATGTTTTGTGGATTTGGAGAAGACGTTGAACCGCGTCCCTTGGGGGGCCCTGTGGGGGGTACTCCAGGAGTATGGGGTACCAGACCCTCTGATACGGGCTGTTAGGTCCCTGTATGACCGGTGTCAGAGCTTGGTCCGCATTGCCAGCAATAAGTCGAGCTCATTTACGGTGAGAGTTGGACTCTGCCAAGGCTGCCCTTTGTTACCTATTCTGTTCATAACTTTTATGGACAGGATTTCTAGGCACAGCCAAGGTGTTGAGGGGATCTGTTTTGGTGGCCTAAAGATCAGGTCTCTGCTGTTTGCAGATGCTGTGATCTTGTTGGCTTCATCAGAATGTGATCTCCAGCTTTCGCTGGAGCGGTTCGCAGGGTGTGAAGAGACTGGGATGAGAATCAGCTCCTCTAAATCCAAGACCATGGTCATGAATCAGAATAGGGTAGTTTAAGTTCAAGTATCTCAGGATCTTGTTAATGAATGGGGGGAAATGGAGCCCGAGATTGAGAGTCAGATTGGTGCTGTATCTGCAGTGATGCTGGCGTTATACCGATCTGTCGTGGTGAAGAGAGAGATGATCCGGAAGGCAAAGGTTTCAATTTACCGGTCGATCTACGTTCCTACCTTCATCTGTGGTCACGAGCTTTGGGTAGTGTCCGAAAGAACGAGATCACAAATACAAAAGGCCGAAATGAGTTTTCTCTGCAGGGTGGCTGGGCTCTCCCTTATAGATATAGTATGAAGCTCGGTCATCCAGGAGGGGCTTGGAGTAGACCTGCTAATCCTCCACATGGAGAGGAGCCAGTTGATGTGGCTCGGGAATCTAGTTAGGATGCCTCCTGGATGCCTCATGGACTCCTCCCTGGTGAGGGTTTCCAGGCACGTCCAACTGGGAGGAGACCCAAGCGAAGACCCAGGACACGCTGGAGGGACTATGTCTCTCGGCTGGCCAGGGAATGCCTTGGGATTCCCCCAGAGGAGCTGGTCCAAGTGGCTGGAGAGAGGGAAGTCTTGGCCTCCCTGTTTAGGCTGCTGCCCCTGCAACCTGACCCCCGGATAAGTGGCTGAAAATGGATGGATGATGGATGGATGGATGGATGGATGGATGGATGGATGGATGGATTTGTTGTATGTAAATATTGTGCGTGTAATTGTTTAAAATGTGCTGTTCAACCCCAACAGAGATATTTTCAAAGCCAAAGCTTTCTGTGCAGCCTACAGAACTATTTGAAGGAGACAATTTCGTTCTGAGATGCATCATCTCTGTTTATTTACCTGACAAGATGGAGGTGAACAGGACGCAATACATCTACTACAAGGATGGCAAGAAACTGAACAGTTCAGAGACGTATAGTTCTGTGGGACACCCTAAAAACAACGGCAACTACAGCTGTGAAGCCCGGGTTTATTCTCCTCTGGTTGACCAGCTTTTTAAAAGCAGCCAAAGCCTGCTTATTACAGCCAAAGGTAAGACACAGAATTAATGTGTTATACAGTAATGAACCTGATTCGTGTTTCTCACTCAAAAAGCCCTCAATGTTCGAAATACAAAGAGATGCACTTACAGCCGTGGGTCTCATTTCTGGTATCTGTCTGTCCTGGTGAGGAAAGATTTCTGTATTCCAGTTTAATGATTGAAAAGAATCTGTTGTTCTCGCTGCTTTTAAAAAAAACATTTTTAACGGTATCCAGCTAAATGTAGCCTAGGCGGTTTAAATCAGTATGTCACTGGGCTGCCACTGTTTGCAACTGGTTGGAGACACAAAAAGACAAGAACAAATGCTTGTAAACAGACTGCAATTCATACTTTTGCACAATGTTTCATATACTGAAAGGTAGTGTGGGTATTACACTTGATTGCAGACAAACCCTGACAGTTGTGCAACTGCAAAATTTCTTCCTCAAATGTATCCCCAAATCACCTCAATTGCAATTTACCCTCATTTAAACACACTTTTGAGCATCTGGTTTGTTGAAAATAAATTGAGAAACATTTATGAAGAGTTTCAAATGTATCTGGCTTTTTTTTTTTTTAAGAAAATCTTGAGAATTTTAAATGTGTTCAGAAGTCAGTGGCACAGCACTGGTCTTGCACTGACCATCTTCATTTGTCATTTGCAGTTGTAGCCCCAAGAAAATACTGGAAATTATACCAGTAATCCTGTTTTTGTTTTTTCTTTTTTTTTGGGGGGGGGGGGGGGGGGGGGGGGGGGTTAGTTCCATGTGTATTTTTTTTTCCTTCTGTTAATTACATGCATGCTAACACAATGAGCAAATTAGTATATTTGTGCTTTTCTGCTTTATTCCCCCATGTCCATGTTTTGTCCACAGTTCTGGTTTCACAGCCCGTGCTGAGTGTGGTGGGGGGCACGTTGTGGTTAGGAAAGCCTTTTCAGCTCCTCTGTCACAGTGACAAAGGCACTCTTCCGATCACATACGTCCTGTTTGGTCCTGACAACCTACCTGAGCACAGGGTTGTGCGCGAGTCTGGCGAAAAGGCCATCTTCAACTTGCCTCCAATTTACAAGAGCTCAGACCTAAACAGTTTTCTGTGCCACGCTAGAAATAGTCAACACAAGCCTCCTACGATAAGCTCAGGAGAGCATCTGCGGCACTCAACCCTTGTCATCGGTTAGTTCCGTGCGTGAGAATACGTGAAGTTAGATTGTTCCAACGTCTAACACTTGTTTCACTGTGCAGAACCTGTTTCCAAACCTCTGTTGACCACTCATCCCAATACGGGGAGCATCTCTGAGGGACAAACATTGAGTCTCGTTTGCTCTGTCCAGAGAGGCAGCCCTCCCTTCAACTTCACCTGGTACCACATGGAGACAGGCAGTGTACTCGCTTCCCTTTCTACCAATAAACCAGAAAGTTCCCACAGCATACATGATGTGAAGGCAAAGCACGGAGGAAGGTACTACTGTGAGAGCACAAATGCTGCTGATGAAATAAAAAAAAGCACCTTTGTCCAGATTGCAGGTGTGTTGAATCATTTACAGGCTAAACTTTCCTTTTGTTTTAAACAACGAGATGCTTGTGCACCCATATGCTGATGATCTTGTTTTTTATATTTAAGTTACGTTAATCGTTTTCCAAATTCCTCCGTAGTAAACTGGGCGATTTGGAAGAAAGCTCTCATCGTAATCTTCTGCCTCCTTCTTTTGCTGACCGTGATCCTTGTGGTTGCCTTTAAAAAACGTCTTCTGTGTAAGAAGAAAAGATCCATGAGTATAGGAAACAAGCTTTCAGTGTGAGTACTATTGCTCATGTTCTTACTACAGGTTTTTTAAGGTGAGGTTGACTTTATTACAGATGAATGATGATGTAGGATCTCTTGTTCATTCAGCTTTGTCTCGACTTTACCTCAGGAGGACGGCCAGCACCAAACCAGAGAGGCTGAGCCTCACGCAGACAGAAGTTGCAGTCGCTAATGGTAAAGCTACAAATATATTCAACAATTAAGATTTATTAAGAACATTTTCTTTTCTGTGTAGCAACCCCAAGCATGATGGGAAAAAGTGTGTGGAGCGACCACGTATCGGGCTCGGGTGAGTAGAAAACATCTACAATTTTATCCTCTTTTTTATCCTTTTTAAACATTGAAACTATGCTGTGAAACTTCTGAACTTGATGCAATTTGCTGGGTTCCTTATATAGCAAACTTTTTACTGACTGGCTTAATGAACGGACCTGGATTGGAATGTTTATTCTGTGAAGTGCCTTGAGACGACTCTTGTCATGATTTGACGCTTTAAACATAAACTTGAATTGAATTGAACTGAATTGAATTGAACTGAACATCTTCAGTGGATTTCTGTAAGAAGTTATATGACTTTAGATCTGACCAGACAGTTAAACTGACAACTAATTTGACATCAAGTGGAGTGCTGGCACTTTTTACGCTTAAAGCACTGCATTACATAGTTATTAACATCCAATGTTAGGGTTTTCTCGGACAGTTGAAGCTAGATGTAGCACTTCAACAGCTAAAGACCTTTTTATTTAAAGCTGCTTTCACATAAATCTTTTGTTTTCTTATTTTTAACTCAAATTTGGAATCATCTTTCACTTGTTTTATGATTTTTTTTAATGATTTTATGAGCTTTTTCTGATGTCAATCTGTTTCTGTTTTGACATCGGTTTGATTTTATGACTTAATGTTTTATTTTGTTTTGATCTATGTGAAGCACTTTGTGATTCTATGTATGTGATAAGTGCTATATAAATAAAATTGACTTACTATTATTACTTACTTCCTGTGCAGCCTGGGGAATGCCAACAGAATACTCCTGTGATGTGAAATTGACAGTTTGTATAGGCTTATAAAACAGGATTTTATAGATTAGAGGTAATTTAAAACTAAAATAATCCACATTGTTTCATCCTTCATATGACTAGCCGTTAGCTTGTCAATCAAACTAGAACTAATACCTGTTTCTTTAAACTAGTTGTGCACACTTGCTCTAAACTAAAGTTTTTCAAATCTACAATAGATTTCTGCAGAGCCCTACTTCAGAAGATCTGACCTTTTTCATTAAACCAAAACAGTCTGGGAACAGTTTTTTGCATCAAATTAATTGTTATTTGCATCAGTTATTAAGAAGCAGTTAAAGTGCTAATGTCTAATGCATTTGAAATATCCACGATAATTTTTATATTTACTGTATTTCATTTGGCTTAAAAAGCTTTTTTGTTTGCACCGATGACATTTGTTCACAGCATGTTAGTCTTGGTGAAAATGACATTTTGCCAGAATTACCAATTTAAAAAATGTTATTAAAGAAGCTTTATTGTATGGTTTTAAAGATAGGGAAATCCATTGTGCTTTACTTTATTGTTTTTAGAGTCAGATGACCAGAACAGCTCGATCACCCACGAAAAGCAGGAAACTCAATACACCGAGGTGCAAACCAGAGATCCAGATCCAAACAGAGGTGAAGCTGACTTTCATTTTTTATTTTTTTCAAACAAAATAATTTTTAACTGACTGAAATTTGTATAAATTTGTTCTGTACTAGCTCCGGTGAAGCAGGGCACAGACACGGTGTACAGCCAAGTACGCCTCTCCCAACAAGGTAAATCCAACATCATACACTTCATTCAGTTACCCAGTGAAAAAAATCAGGTCACTGGCATTTTACAAGAAGGAAAGGAGGAAAAAGAAACAGGAAACAAGATCAACTCCAACTGCAAACATTTTCATTGTTAGTACAAGAATGCCCCATTATAACAGAAGGCCAAGTCTCCAGGTGTCCACTTCCTGCTTTCGTCAGAGAACTTCCTGTTTTAACTACTGAGCCAAACAGTCTGCTCATCCATTCAGACTGAGCGAGCCACCGTGTGATTGTTCGGTGCTCCTGGGGCAACTGTTGGTCATTATTTGGACATGGATTTAGTTCTGCGATGGTTTAACTCAGTCATGCTGCCAAAAGAAAAGAACGCGCACACTGCTGTGCACTTGAGGAGCGGATTGTAGAAAATCAGTGTTTGTATAACTCAGATGTTTGACTGGGATGCTTCTTTTGTATTTATATCTAATCGCTGGTTCCGTACTTGCAGGTGTTCCAGAGGTGGTCGATGGTGTAAGTAGGAAACAACATGCATGGATAAGCTAACAATTCACATATTCATTTTTAATCTAGCCACGGCGTGTACTCCTTTCACAGAAAGTCTAACACTGATCTGTAGCTGCTTTGAGAAAATGGTTTAGTCCAGGTATGTCCAAAATGTGGCCCGGGGGCCATTAGGGGCTCTCATGGTGATTTTGAGCAGCTTCCAATGACATTTCTAGGATGGTGGAATTTTGTCTTTCCAGCCTGCTGTTGATGTAGATGTGCACTTTTCTAATAATTAATGTTCAGTTTTAATAATATTACAATTGTTTTGAGTAGTGCAATTTAAACCATAAAACAATTGTCGCTTCTTTTTTTCACATTTTTGTGGCCCATGAGGACTTAGTCCACACCTGGAAGAGTTTGGACACCCCTGGTTGAGTCCAATGGTTTGAAAACTATGTGATGTCCAACAATAGAAGGAAGGCTACTATGTTCTGAAGAAAGCTTTGGTCTAAGCAGACCTGAAACATGAGCTGGAGGAAGCAGTGCCTTCAGATTCACTGGACAGATGGGAGTGTGCGTCTTGATCAGAGCAATGACATAACACCTCTGAGGATCCATGGTCTTTGTCTAAATGTCATCCAGCTGCCTGAGAATGAATGGTTTGTCAAGCACAACTGACCTCCATTTTGTAAACGTTAACTGGACCCTCAGATTTATCTGGGTCTTCAAGGACCACCATCCTGCATGCACCTCATTTACACTGTGACCGGAAGGGATGTAGTCCGGTTTCTGGACGGACTGCCAATCACGTCGACTCGATCGTGTGCAAAACGTCTCCAGGAATTCGGTCCCACTTAAGCACCAAATCTCAGATGTTCAAGAGAATTCATGCTAGAAATTTGACATAATACATTTAAAGACATACTAACATGAACTATCTTGCACTGTGAACTGATATCCCTTTCAATAATAATAAAACAAAAGCAGGGAGAAATGTAAAAGGATTTATTTTGAAAATCCAGATACACCTTGCAGTTGCACGTCCCACTTCCTGTCTGTCTCATGTAATTTCTTTAACTTCATGACAATCTGCATTTAATGTCTGAAAAAATAGACTCCATTTGGAAACTTTCCAGATCCGCTCCACAGTCAGTTTGACTTGGTGACTTTTTGGTCTTTTCGGAAGCCGTCCGGACCGCGTCGGTTCCGTACACGATGTAAATGAGGAAATAGCGGTTTCTCTGCTCCAACTCACCTGATTTAAATCTGTGGGAGGATAAAAAGCTTCTGCAGAGGTTACAGACCTGCTGGACAGCAGGTCGCCCATCGTGTACAAACTACAGAAATAAGCCACAAAAAAGCATACTTTGCGTTTATGAGAGTCTTCTATCTCTGCAGGTTTCAGTGGAGTACGCACAGCTGAATCATGATAATGGTCAACACTGTGACAACAGTAACAATGGTGACCACTGCACAGAAACTGACCATGTAGCTGAGGCCGACAACAGCGTTAGCGTCAACACCGGTGACCAGGACGGAGGAGTGTGTGACTCACCTCCAGACTGTTAGCTCACTAATGACAAGATTTTTATTTACTCATCATGTTTGTGCCGCTGGAGTTGTTGTCCTGAAATAAACAGAATTTTTACTTTGGTTTTCTGCTTTTATACTTTCATGTGTTCCACACTGTACTGTTACTTGTCTTTTAAAAAGTATAATATATATAAGTCAGATTTGTGTTAATATCTATGCTGCCAAGTCACAGTAACTCATTTAAATCAGACCAGGAAGGAAGACCTCCTGATCTGCTGGTTTATGACCTGAGATATAAATCAAAAGCACTAGAAGGCAGACATGAGGAGGCTCTGCAGTGGAAACTTGGTGGCAGCTGGCTGTGATCTCCTTTTAATGAGAGAGGGGCCGTCACCTCAGCCGACACATCACTAGATTTCTGTTTCATTTTCCATTATCTAAGATTTAATTGAATGACATAACATGGGCAAGGTTTCAGTGGTCAGAACTGAGAGGATTTAGGTCAACCCTGATGTAATCCCATAAAGACTGCATGCAAAAGTTCAAGGCTGGATGCATCAAAGTGATGTTATGACGGTATCAACCCAAACAAACACAAATGTGATATTACCTGAGACTGATATTAAATATGACATCATGCCTTAAGGTTTGTGTTATAGATTAACTGGTATTATAGACTAGTGGCACAGCAGGGTTTAAATAAAGGTCAGTTTCATAGAATATTGTGCAAGCAAGAGTAGACAACACATTTACTCTAGCATAAAGTGATGCAACATGTTTTTAAAAGGATACTATGCAACGTTTCCATAATTTTAACCCTCCCACTGTCTTATTGGGTGACCCCGCCAGGAAAGTTGACCATTGAGCAGGGTTGATGGTTGATCCCTTGAGGTCCACTTGGCAGGGGGGAGGAGTGAGCACCACCTCACCCCTGCCACGTGGACCTCAAGGGATCAACCATCAACCCTGCTCAATGGTCATCTTTCCTGGTAGGGCCACCCAACAGGACAGTGGGAGGGTTAACTCATTTTCTTGAACAAGTATTTGCTAAAATGAGCCTTTACAGGGTTGATGAAATGTCACTCAGACCACCACGACCCTCTGTGGCCAGAATACCGCATTTGCAACTTCAGAGTGCAGGTCCAGTCTTTTGGAGATGACATACCTGGTCTGCTTCCAGCATGTTTCAGATCATGAACACAGCTGATTTGTTACATTTAGTGATTAATCGCTCCAGTAGACACTAATGAAGGCTGGGGAGTGTCATGGTTTGGGGCAAGAGTCTAACCCAAGACATGCAGAATCAGTACAGTACAACGGTTGAAGGAAAAGTAACAATCTTTTATTAAAGGAGAACGTTAACTAAGGGCGCACTGGAAGTCCAGCGGGTGAAGGAACGGGAAGGCAGCGTCTAGAGGGGAGAAAAACAGAGGTGAGTCCTGGGAGCTGTAGTCCAGAAGGGGAATAATGAGTGGGGACTTACGGAGGTCGAGGAGACTAGGTGAGTAAGGGGAGGTAGTGAGACGGAGGTTTGTCCAAGAGGGAGGTTCGGAGCTGGAGAGGGAGCGGAGGGTTGATGGAGAGCGAGCCGGTCTGGATGGGTGGATGGCTGAATGAAGAAGAGGAGCTGGTGTGGAGTCCTATGGATTCAGCGTAGGGTTTCCTGATGCGAAGCAAGACCTGATGTAGGTTGTTCAAAAACATCCAAGAGTTATGAGAGTTCCAAAAAGTCACACAATACACTGGGAGACCTAGAGGCGAGTACAAGTGGCTAGAAACTACCAGTAAGTAGCAATCATCTCGCGTCGAGTAGTGTTCACCATCCTCCTTAAGTATGCAACTCACTGATTAGCTGACGAGATGCAGCTGCCGCGCCCTCTCCTGCAAACAGAACACTCAGAGATGGGGAAGATGGGAAGAGTACTCACCCCGGCTCATGACAGTACCCCCCCCCCCCCTCCCCCAACGAACACCCCCCTGCATCCCAGCCGAAGCAGCCTCGAGCTCTCGGATCAGGGACAGATCCTCGATGAAAGACAGAGCAACCCAGGACCGTTCCTCAGGACCGTACCCCTCTCAGTACTTACCGTACCCTACTCAGTACTGAATGCCACGACCATGACGACGTGAGTCCAGGATCCTGTTAAAAGTATACACCAGCCCACCCTTGTACAGGCGAGCCGGAGGAGGGGGCGCAGGTGCAGGACAGAGGGGACTAGAGACCAAGGGCTTGACCAAGCATACATGAAAAACAGGATGCACACGAAGGGAGTGGGGAAGGTCCAAATGAACAGTGGAGGGAGTAGGGTTAGGGTTAGGGTTAAGGTTAGACGCGGTCTGCCAACAGTTTGTTTTTGTGGGCAGTACAGTCCAACGCCGCCCTGGTGGTGGACCAGGTGCGTCTGGCACCGCGGAGGAATTATGGAATGGAGGAGGAGGCTGATGACTGCTGGGGAAAGAGTGAAGGTTGGTAACCGAGGGAGGATTCAAAAGGAGACTGACCTGTAGCAGAGGATACATGGCTGTTATGTGTGAACTCCACCCATGGTAGATGGGTACTCCATGAGGAAGGGTGAGAAGAACAGACGCAGCATAGCATGGCCCCCAGTTACTGGTTCATGCGCTTGCACTGTCCATTTGTCTGAGGATGATGACCAGAGGTGAGTGCCACCTGGGCCCCTAGAGTCTCTGCAAACTCTTTCCAGACTCTGGAAACAAACTGCGGGCCTCGATCTGACAGGATCTCCTCAGGGATTTTATGCAGGCAAAAAATGTGTTTTACAAAAGTTGCTCTGTGACTGACAAGGAGGAACGAGATTTTAAGGGAACCAGGTGACAAGCCTTAGAGAAAAGGTCTACTATGGTGAGTATGGTGGTGAAGCCATGAGAATTAGGTAACCCACAAACAAAGTCTAGGGTGATGTGAGACCAGGGGCGAGAGGGAATGGGTTGAGGGTGTAACAAACCTGCTGGAGCATGATGATCTCCCTTCTGCTGGGAGCAGATGTGACAGCCTGAAACATAACGCTTAATGTCTCTATAGATAGACAGCCACCAAAAGGGCCATCTGATGAGGGCCACAGTACGACCCATTCCTGGATGAAAGGCGAACTTGCCGGTATGAGCCCAGTGGATTACCTTGCTCCTCACTGACGGAGGTACATACAATCTTCCTGGAGGACAATTGCTAGGACCGGGGTCTGCCTTGAGGGCTTCCAGCACTTGGTCCCTGACTTCCCAGGTAACCCCTCTGATGACACATGCCGGGGGTAGGATTGTGGAGGGTTCTGCGTCCAGATCAGGGGCGTACTGTCGGGAGAGAGCATCTGGCTTGGTGTTCTTAGAACCTGGGCGATAGTAGATTTGGAAGTTAAAACGGGAAAAGAAAAGGAACCACCTGTATTGGTGTGGATTGAGCCGTTTTGCCTCTCTTAGGTAAACCAGGTTCTTATGGTCCATCCAAATGATGAATGGTCTCTCAGCTCCCTCCAGCCAATGTCTCCACTCCTCGATGGCCAGGTTAACAGCCAGCAGTTCACGGCCCCCCACATCATATCTGCTCTCTGCAGGAGTCAAACGACGTGGAAAAAAGGGCACATGGGTGGAGGCATTGATCCGTTACCGAGATCTGGGACAGCACAGCTCCCATCCCAGTGTCCGAGGCATCCACCTCTAGGGTGAACTGACGTAGTGGGTCAGGTCGATGAAGCACGAGAGCATTTGTAAACTTCCTCTTCTGAGTCTGGAAAGCTGCATCTGCATCTGGGGACCACAAAAAGGGTTTGTTCAGAGGTTAGGTTGGTTAGTGGCGCTGCTGTCTGGCTGTAGTTCCTGATGAACCTGCGATAAAAATTAGCAAACCCCAGGAACCTCTAACTGCCTTCGTGTGGAAGGCGTGGGCCATTCCATGACTGCTTGCACCTTTTCAGGATCCGCCTTCAACCGCCCGCTCTCAATGATGAACCCCAAGAATTTCACAGTGGGGACATGAAACTCACACTTCTCGGCCTTGATGTACAGTATGTTCTCTAGCAGGCGCTGTAACACAGCCCTCACGTGATGGGTGTGCTGTTCCTTGGTCTTAAAGAAAATCAGTATGTCGTCTAAGTGCACAGTTACAAACTAGTTGATGTAATCACCCAACACTGAGTTCACTAGTGACTGAAACACTGCGGGGGCATTCGTTAACCCAAACGGCATTACCAGGTACTCAAAATGGCCAAGGGGTGTCTTGAATGCCGTCTTCCACTCACCCCCCTCTCTTATTCTCACCAGATGATAGGCGTTCTTAGGTCCAACCAACTGACTATGGAGGCATCCTGAATAGGCTCAAAATTGGAGGAAAGTAATGGCAGAGGATACTTATTTTTTACGGTGATGTGGTTCAAACCTCTATAATCGATGCAGGGCCTGAGTGACCCCTCTTTTTTGGGTACGAAGAAGAACCCCGCTCCCAGAGGAGACTAGGGTGGTCGTATGGTTCCAGCAGCTAGACAGTCTTGAATGTAACGCTCCATGCTTTCTCTCTCAGGCTTGGAGAGGTGATAAAGATGGCTAGACGGCAGAGGGGGCTCCTGGTAGCAGATCAATAGCACAGTTGAAGGGCCTGTGAGGTGTTTAATGAAACAGAAAATAAACCACAGACCATTCTGGGTACATGCGGCTGTCTTTCTTCTTGCTTGTTATTGTGTGAAATTGTCTTATTGTGCTGGTGGAGGTCGGAAGGACCAGTGGCGCCAGTGTTCGGCAGGCCTCGCCTCTGTCAGTGCACCCCAGGGCAGCTGTGGCTACATTGTGGCTTATCCCCACCCGCCAGTGAATGTGTGTGTGAATGGGTGGATGACTGATTGTGTTGTAAAGTGCTTTGGGGGGTTGTAGAACCATAAGGAGGTGCTATACAAATTGACCGTTTCACTCCCGTTTCGTCTCTGAAAACGCTCACAGTTTCGGTGGAAAGGAGGGTTTAGCGTTGCTTTCAAAAAGTTGCATGCATGCAAAACATTTTGTCTCAATCCCATCTCTTCTTGTTGCATGTTGAAGCTCTACTTGGAACAAAGAGCCAACCATATAAAATAGGATTTTTGGTCATTTTTCAAGTGTTCTCAAAAAACAGCAGCAAC